GTTTCAGAAAATATTGAATTCATTTCATTTTCATCGTCTTTTAATTTTTCACTATAGGAATTTTTCAATTGTTCCTGTTTGTTTGTGATCGATTGCATAGAATTTTGTAGATTGGTATTTGTTGTTGCAATATAATCGAATATTTTTTTAATTATTTCTGCAATTTCCATATTGAATTTCTTAACTTCAAATAAATTCGAGAAATCAGATATATCATTTCGAATTTGATTGATCAATACTTCTTTTGTAATTGATAATTCATTTGAAATCTTCTGATTAGGTAACGAAGTGAAATTTTTATTGATTTCATTGATGATGTCAAATGGTAAAAATAAATGAATATCTTCTGTTTCATTTGCAGATAATGCCTTATTCGATTGTTGATTATTCGTTGCCAATAAATCAGGTATTTTAAAATCAGATAAAGATATCTGTTGACCCATATTTACCTAATTGTCGATGAAGGAATCAAGCTTATCATTGTACAATGGTAATCCAATAACAATATTCTATGTCACACCCGACTCTATAATAGTTAGGAGATTATCATATCGAATTGTATGCAAACACAACCAAAAGAAAAACACAAACAAAATGTTTAATTTTTAAAAAAATGACATTCTATCTTATTGGCTTCATGCTTTTATTCGAAAACTTCTCAAATAAAAAGTGAAATTAATTTTCTCGTTTGTTACTAAAAGAAAATAATTCGTGAAAGCTAGGTATGCACCAATGCCAGTTCAGAACTGGAGACTAGATACTCAGTCCAACTGGGGTATATATCTAACTGTCCATGGTTTATAAAACCATCGGTAGTTTAGGAGCACTCAAAGGTCCTGAAGGACTATCATATGGGGGTACCTATAGGTCCTCAAAGTCTACTATATAGGAGTGCACAGAAATCTTCAAGGCCTATTATATAGAGCACCGATAGGTGCTGAAGGTCAGGGTGGACCACTGTTTTTGACAGTGGGGCGGATAAGGGTAAAAATTTGGCAGAAAGTTCGTCATCTTCATCGCACAAAGTCAATGGTATTTCTGTTCCATTTCTTGCCAAAAATCAATGTTATGCATGCCATATTTCTTGCAGAGATTCCAAAGTTTTGCAGAAAATTCAACACAAATACCATCGACTTTCTGCGAGATATGCAGCAGAGTGGACTCCACTTTCTGAGAGATATTTGGCCTAAATAACCTCGACTTTTTGCAAGAATTTGGCAAAGAGCATGTCTACTTTCGTTTGGTTAAGCAAATTGACAAGTTTTCTACTATAGTGAACTAATCGATTTTTCGGAAGGTATTATCAAAGATTTTGACAGAAAGTCTGAAATTGGTTATGTGCAAGCCCTTCGAGTCCCCTAATCAGGAACGTTGCTCAAAGCCTATAGTAACAGGCATACATAGATGAGGATCTATGGTTACCCCTATAGGAGATCTCGTAAAGATTATTGGTTGCCTCTCTTGTATAATCCTGCGGACCTATAGGTACTCCTATATAATAGCGCTTGATGTTCTGTGGGTAACGCTATAGTATATGCCTTGAGGACCTATATGTACCTCTGTATAATAGCCCTTGAGGACCTATGAATATTTCTATATAGTAGGCTTTGAGGACTTATGGGTCTCCCGATAATATAGGTTTTGAGGACCTTTGAGTGCCCCTAAACTACCGATGATTCAGTAAATCATAGATAGTTAGATATATACCCAGTTAACTGACACTGGTGCATACCTAGTGAAAGCGAAAATTTTGTTTCAAACAGTTGAATGGATAAAGAATACGTGTATTTGGATTCTTTTACAATTATAATTTTTTTAAAAATATGATTGCATCACATTTTTCTTTCGATGAAAACAAAAACCCCAAAAAACAAACTGGAAAGAAAAACAATTATTCCATCAATTCCTATTGGTGAAGTTTAAGGCATGAATTGAATTGTGTTGTTGATGTGCGCTTTATGTTTTGAAAAGAGAAAAACGTTGCATGTTCTGGGTTCGAATTTCATGCACTGTATTTTTATCGACTTATCGACATCTATTTCGTTCGATAATGACACTGAGTTATTACCATAGTAATTAGTTTGAACAAATTCTATGAAGATAGTTCATGTTCTGGAAGGGATTAGCTTTATAGACTATTGCAAAAAATTTGGTTATAAAGATCAAATTTCCAATAATTGGTATTGATTCAGACACAATAGAGTGAAAAGTTTTATTTTTCTATACTAAAGAATATTTTTCAAGGAAAGATCAATGAGTACTATGGTGTTCTTTTTGTATAAATGTAGTTAAGTGATGTCTTACTTTCTTCTTGATCGTATTCGCAACCAAGTCAAAACTAATACAATGTACACGTGGACTGTTTTTCTTGCTGAATACAATTGTAATGAAGAACAGAAGCAAACAACTATTTATATTTACTCACACTCATGCAAGCCCGTAAGTAGGAATTCTCCAGGCGCAATGCGAATCAGAAAGCAAAAATTTGTTTACCCTTCAAAGAAGTATTTTTATTTGTAGAGTATTTGGTATAGCTCACTGCGAATGTTACATATATGTGAGAACGTCTTCTGTATTCTGATTTTGGCAGGGTGTGTCGAGCAATCATTATCGCGATTTCATGCTCGCTAAAGGAATCATCAGATGGATTTTAGTGAGAAAATATGACAATTGAGAATCGAAAATTCAATGCTACTCTTGAGGGTGAGGTGAGGTGAGTTTAAAAGATTTATAAAGTCGAGAGAGAAAGCATTTGAATGAGTTGTTACAGAACGATCTATAATCATTCTATTTATCCACAGAACTACATTTGATGTAAATAAAAAG